ACATCCCTTAAATTATGTATAACAGATTCCAAATAAGCACCCATTACAATATTTAAAGTGGTGATATTACACTGAAAGAACTTCCTTTACTTTAAAATATATAAAGAATACCTGGCTGACTTGGAATACTTCTTGATGATAATTTCTATAATTCCATAGATTTGATGCAGGTATCTTTTTGCAGATTATCATGAATATATCTCGGAATAGTCTGAACCCGCTACATTTTTATGCACCTGTCCTAAGTCAGGAGCCTCTTGTTCAGTGGTTGTCGTTTTTTATATAGATTAGACCGTTGGTTTTCCTGTTTGAATTGTTTAACACTAGTCATTTTGGGGCCCTTTATAGCTTGCTGACCTGTTCGGTGTGAGCCAAGGCTCCGTGTTGAAGGCCGTTCTTAGACATATAATTGCTAACTTTTAATACATTGTGACTTGGATGGAGAGTTGTCTCATTGGCACTCATACCAAATCTTCTTATTTATATTGATAATTGTATATACATAGATCAAAATGTTAATTTACAAAATGCAAGCTCACTGGTATAACAAAAGTTTAGAACAACAAACTTCAGATATGGACACAGTTTTATAGCTAAGATTCTATCTCTCATAGACAACGTGCTCAGCATGAAATAAGCAACTTTTGTATAAGCTGGTATGACCAACTTGTAATTTCACCATTTCTGACTGGCATGAATGTTGTTACATGTACACAATGTACCAGTTGTGCTAATCAGTATCTGATGATCGGTCTTATAATGGAACATTCTTGAATGCATTTGTAGGCAGCGTCTCATATAATTTCATTAAAAGCTCTATTAACTTATTTCTATTTAATTTGTATGCAAATATGACTTTGTTAAAAGAATATATCAAAACAATTTAATAATTTCACAAAACCTTTTATTTCTTCTCAATTTTCTTTAACTATGACAATAATGATCGATTGTTAATTGCTTTACGTCCAGCGGCAAATATTTCATGCATATCAAGATATTGATATATGGTAGTACACTACAAAACATTGATAAAATGTCATTCTTACCAAAAATCTTATGACAAAAAAATAAACCTTTCAATCATTACTTAAATTCATAATATCACAGTCTGAAATGTGTACTATATGATTCTAACAATAAAATAGCTTACTTCTAAACAGATCAACAAATTATAGCATCTGAGAAACAGACATAAATCAAAGAACCTTTGTGAACATATTACATACCCCACACCCCACATTGTCACTGGGCAAACAAAATATCACCAGATTCCTAAGAAAAAGTCAACTGATAATAATTTCTTGTAGATATGCACATCTACATATTATGTCCTCATTAACTACAAAGTATCACGAAAGTCTGCAGTGTGGTTTCAGAGGAGTTGCTATGACAAAATGTTGCAGTAGTCTATTTAGGCCAAAATTCTAAGTTCAAAGGGCTTAACTCCTAGAAAAAAAATTGAATCATAATTTCCTGTCAATATTCCCATCTACAAAGATCTACAAAGATTCATGAAATTCTGTTGTGTGGTTTCAGAGGAGTTGCGATGACAAGAACAGGACTGACGGATGGACGGTTCAAAACATTATACCCTACCAAACTTTGTTACATGTACGTGGGGTATAATTACAAAAATTGAACTTCGACCAATGAACCATGAAAATGAGGTCAAGGTCAGATCATTACTGTCAGACAACATGTACACCATGGACCTATTCCATATACCAAATACAGTTGACCTATTGCTTACTGCATTTGATTGACTGGTTGGTTGTTTTTTACGCCACTTACATCCAGTGGCAGGTATTTCATACATATCAAGATTTTGATAAATGATGGTACAGTACAAAACATGGATAAAATGTCATTTTTACCAAAAATCTTATGAGAAAAATTTACCTTTCAGTCATTACTTAAATTTATAATATCACAATCTGAAATGTGAACTTTAAGATTCCAACAATATAGTTGCTTTTATATATTATTTCTAAACAGATCAACAAATTATAGCATCTGAGAAATAGACCTAATTACAAAATTTGAACTTCGACCAATGAACCATAAAAATGAGGTCAAGGTCAGATCAACACTTCCAGACAACATGTACACCATGAACCTATTCCATATACCAAATAAGATAATCTATTGATTACTGCATTTGATTGATCGATTGATTGGTTTTAAATGTCACTTTCAACACTATTGTGCTATTTCGTGGAGGGGTGTCTTCAACCTATGCCAACATTTGAAAAATATATATTCAACCTATGCCTACAAACAAAATACAATGGATGTTGTTATAACAATTAATAAATAATTACAGCTAACATACAGTAAGTATTTTAAAGCATTCAAAATTACTTCTTTAGAATAAAAAACAACTGTTACAGTTAAATACTTGCAAAATTATGTTGTAGTAAAAATATGATATTTGAAAAAAATAGATAAAAATATTACAATAGAACACTCTTGTATGCATGGTAAAATACTTCCAACATTATGTTGTTCTAAATCTAAAAAAAACGCCATGGCAAAAAAAGAAAAAGACCAAAAGACAAACAACAGTATACAAAACACACCCGAGTGCTCCTGTCGCGTGTGGGATTCAAATTCACAATCTCAGTGTTGACAGGCTAGTGTTACAGGAGTTCGACTACTTAGACCACTAGGCCCCACTACTGCATTTTCGAAAAAGGCATAAACCATGAAATCTTAACATTGACCAATGAAAAAACAGGACAAGGTCAAACATGTTCACCTAACAATCATACCATACACCAAATACATCTGATCTATTGCTATTAGTATCTGAGAAAAAACAAAACCACAGACTTAATTGCCCAATGAACCATGAAAATGGGGTCAAGGTTAGATGAAACCTGCAAATCAGGCATGTACACCTTACAATGATTCCATACACAAAATATAGTTGACCACAAAATCTTAACCTTGATCACTGAACTATGAAATGAGGTCGAGGTCTGGTGAACCCTAGGATCCCGTATACCAAACTATAGTTATGCTATTACTCATAACAAGGAAGCTTTTCAAATGATAAAAAATACAAAATATTTCTTTCAAGACTTTCAGACTCTGAAGCATGTAAACGACACCAAGCACAATTAGCATATGACAGATGGAAACTTCATTACATAAGACATCTGCATACAAGGTATGGCGAAACAAGGTCTTCTAAGTTCTGAAATATAATGTTTTATACAAATAGTATAACAATTTCTTCGCAGATGAGACAAAACCCCAAAGCCTGATTCATGATACCACAACAAATAAAAATCAAACATGGCAAGACAGCAATTAACAACCACTGAATTACAGGCTTCTGGCTTGAGACTAGCACATACACAATGTGGGGAGTATCTGTTTTGAGTTCACACCTGGCTGACATGTTAGATACTTGTAAAATTACCCTGCACATCCTGCTTCACCATGCAAAAGCAAACAAAACCAACAAAGAAAACAGTATGTCAATTGTTTATTACTTGTTAATGTTTCATTTTCTTATTTTCATGCGCGAGTCTTGTATTAAATATAGTTACTTGGACTCTCCAGCAGTTAATATGATAAAATTGGACTTTCTGAACATGTTCCTAAATTTTATAATATAAATGTTTAAAGATGGCTTCAAACTGCAATCTTAAAATATGTTTTTAATTTGTCACTCAATGTTTAATTGTCACTTAACATGTATCAATCTGAAATCTGACTTCAGAAAGTAAACTTAACATGGATCTTTCAAACTAGAAAATGTGGTCAAGGTCAAATTACTAGTCTGTTGGAAATTACCACCTAACATGATTCCATAAAACAAATATCATAGCTGACCAATTACTTTAACTTACAGTAACTTTCCTAAGCAAGCTACATGTAAGTTGAATGTTGTAGATTGATGGCTTCTTTTGACCAGCAGGAAATATTACAAGTATGCATAGGACAATAATATGTTTAACTTATGAGGTATATAAAAAGCAATGTTTTGAACTAGCCTGTTATCTTTGACAAGTTTTTCCATGACCAACATGCTGAGTGGAATTTTAAAATGCTAGCTCACAAGGTGTTCTCAGATACATTATTTGGACTGAGCAGACAAATCTTTGCTCTTCTTTTAAATTGACTAAGCTGGAGATTCAACTTATGGCTTCCTGGAAACAAGTCGAGCACACTACCATGAGACCACCAAAGCCGTAAGTAACTGTTCACAAGTGAAGACCAATGAACATATTTTCTACAAAATGGAAAACCTTCCTGCTGAAAAATATTGTAAGTGTAGAGCAGACAATCAGTGTACAAACAACATATTTTGCTCATTGTTGAAGGCCGTACAGTGACCTATAGTTGTAAACTTCTAAGTTATTTGGTCTCTAGAGGAGGTTTCCATTTTGCAGAAATATGTTCATTGATCTTCATTTGTCAACAATTACTAACCCCTTTGGTGGTCTCATGGTATTGTGCTCGACTTATTTACAGGAAGCCATAGGTTGTCTCTTTGGCAATTGAACCATATCTTCTTATTTTATATTCATACAATTTTAACAAAAAATTGACTCTTTTAAATGCATGGACAGGTGAAAAACAAAACCTTCTCCTGATATTTCAAAATGGAAGCAACAAATTGGGGGAGGGTTGAGTGCTCACAAACATGTTTAACCACACCACATTCTTTATGTGCCCATCCCAAGTCAGGAGCCTGTAGTACAGTGGTTATGGCTGGTTCATGTCTGTCATATTTGTTTTTCGTAAATTGATTTTTAAATAATTTAGTCCGTGAGTTTTCTCGTTTGAATTTTTTTTACATTTTTAATGTCGGGGCCTTTTATAGCTGACTATATGGTATGAAATTTTTTCATTGTCGAAGGCCGTACGGTAGCCTTTAATTGCTTAGTACCACTTCATTTTAAATCTGGTTGATAGTTCTTTCATTGGCAATCATACCAAATCTCCTCATTTTTATAAATATAAATATAAATAAATATACAAACACAGATTTTCAATATCATTAAATACCATTTTACCATAAAAACAGTATAACTTTATTGCTTAATGCTTGTACAAAAGCATTAAAAATCAAATGTACACATATATTTATATGTATATTTATAGATGTTCCTGTCTTTTATTCTATAATCAGAATCTATCAGCAAGAATTTTCTGTAAATCACAATGCTCTTCTTATTTTATCTGGAAATATAAAAGAAAAGAATGTACCAATCATTCTTGTGATTATATAATTGCACTAGAAATGTTGTTGTTGATTTCATTGCTCTTGTTTAATATACATTCTCATTCCATTATTTTCTAAATTTGTAATTAATATTTTTTTGGTCAAATAAAGACTTAAAATTTGAAGTGGCTGTAGATTGATTGATTGATTGGTTTTTCTCGCCACTTTCAGTACTACTGTTCTATTTTGTGGTGGTCAGTTTTTATTGCCTGGAGAGAACCACAGAAAACTGACAATCCTAGTCAAATAAGATTGGAGTTGAGCCCACCTGCCAAGTGCAGGATTCGAGGTTATAACCTCAGTTTTGACAGGCTAGTGATAAAGTAGATTGACTACTTAGACCACTGGCCCATCGAGGCCCCGCAGTGGCTGTATAATCTAATGCACTATTCTGAAAGTGCAAGAAGCGATGTCTGCATTTCAATTTTATAAATAGAGTAATACTGTTTTCTTAGATGCACAAATTGATTGATTGTAGTTTGACTTACATATAGTAGAAAAAGAACTTTTAATGAGCAAGCTCAACCCCACACCCTCAATATAAGGGACAAGAACTGAAAGTGAACTGCTGGCATACTTTTTTAGTTTACCGGTACTTTTAGGTGTGATTCTTTTCTGTGAACCAAGACCTAGTGACTTCAAAATCAAAAGGAATCTGCCTCTCATTATATGTTAGGGCGATTCCATTAAAATGTATGTGGGAGGGTAGGAAGGGATTTTCAAAATATCCCTACAACCAAGAATCATTTTTTAGATAATTTTGCATAATGGTAATAGATGCATACTGAAAAAAGACCCATGACCCACATTCAATAATTCGAATTCCCTTCCTACCCTCCCACCTACATTTTAATGGAATAGCCCTTACCACATATCCAAGTAATTTGACATGAAGATAGCATCCTGAAATCCACTCTCCAGAAAAACATGGGTCTATTTTAGTAACTTTTACCTTGACTGTAGTTGTTATGACCTCAAAATCAAAAAAAGAGTCTTCATTTCAGTATAAGTGACCATATATAAAATTCAGGTAACAATCCAATTAAAAATATTTGATTTAGCATCAAGAAACTACTCTTCTGAACAAATTTAAGTATATTTTTAGTAATCATGACCTTGACCTTACACATAGTAAACCTCATATAAATCAAATTGGAATCTTTATCTCATTATATGTGATCATATATCAAAGTAAGGTTGTAGGTATAAAAAGTATTTGATTTAGAATCTGGAACTAAAATGATTAATGGATCAAAAACAAAAGATTTGTAGTGTGGGCTACAACAAATATAAGGGCTATACCAAAAAAATACCATGTTCCCCCAGGAAGGCAATTTAATTTTTTTATGTGGGTGGTCGTATTTGAAAATAAATTAATGATGGAGGTGGTGCCCAAGAGCAGAAAATTAAATATGTTGGGTGTCAGTTTGTTAAAAAAAGTGTAATATGACATGTATGATGGGTTTTTTGTTTCTTGATTACCTAGTATATGGGTTGTGGTCATTTAGTAAAATTCAATGGTATAGGTGGGGGTTATAATTTATGTTAATTTCTGTGGGTGGTGGGGGTTAAAATAAGTGCCTTTCTGGGGGGAGGGGGGCATAGTTTTTTTCTGGAACAGCCCTAAAATAGAAGTGATAATCTTTTACATAAGGAGTTTTTAAAGATGATCATATCTGTTGAGGGCTATTAATTTAGTAAGTACAGCACATGTAAACAGTTAACAATAACATGATTTATTATTCACAAGACAAGAAATACCTGGACAAGAAAGTCTAGTACAAATGAAATAATTTTTCATAAGTATGTGGCAAAAAATTGACTTAATTGAAGATCCTGTCTTGCTTATCATCTTTGCTATCTAAACTGTCTATCGTTCATATTTTTCAAGATAATAGGCAAAAACGCAAATCATTGGTAAATATCGCCATTTAAGACCAATTATACATTTATGGGTTTTTTGCTTGTGAGAGAGCTGTCTACTATTATGTTTTTATCATTACATTTTTCTATTTCTTTAAATATTTGAACTGGAGGATAGTTGTCTCATTGGCAATCATACCACATCTTATTTTTATATTGATTGCAGGGTTTGTTGCTCGTGCTGTGTGGATGCTGTAGAATGTGTCCCCGTGCTTGTAGTGTATGCCCTTATATTTTACAGTAATGGGTTTTTTGTTTGTGAGAGAGCTGCCTACTATTAGTTTTTTATCATTACATATTTGAACTTTGGTGGATAGTTGTCTCATTGGCAATCATACCTCATCTCCTTTTTTTTTATAAGAACTCTAAAAAAGGAGTGGACTGACGATTTCTGCCTTGTTGACTTATTTGAAGAACTTGTCTTGCTGATCATTTTTGCTTTTAAAAGTGTCTATCTATCTATTAAAGTTTTCAAGATAATAGACAAAAACACTAAAAATATGTAAAAATTATTTTTAAAGAGCAATAACTCCAATAAGGAGTCAAACTGATGAGTTCTGCTATTTGACTTTTGTGTAGATCTTGTCTTGCTGATCATTTTTGCTTATTTAACTTTTTCTACTCTATATTATAATTTTTGTTGAGCCTGCGAAAGCGAGACATAGTGATCCTAGATTCAGATGGTGCCAGCGTCATCACCATTTAGGTTACAATCTGCGGTTAAAGTTTTCTTGGACATGAATAATTTTGTCACACCAACATGGAATTTTATGAAATTGGGACAGAAGCTTGTTTATGACCAAAATACAGTATCCAGGGCAAAATTTTGAAAATATTTATTTCCATTTTTCTGTATTTAACTAATAAAAGGACTTAGTTTTTTTACAGTTAACTTCAGATTTTGTCTGAGGTTAAAGTTTTTCAGTCATCAATAACTTTGTCAAAGCTTCATGGAAATATATGAAATTTGGACAGAAGATTGTTTATGACCAAAATATAGTATCAAGAGCAAAATTTTGAAAATATTTATTTTCATTTTTACGTATTTTACTGATAAATTGACTTAGTTTTTTTTACATTTAACAAGTAGATACAGTTTGGGGTTAATTTTTGTTACACATCAAATACTTTGTCAAACCGTCATGGAATTTTATGAAACTTTTTTATAATTTAAGAGATAATATCTGAAACAAACTTTTGAAAATATATTTTCATTTTCAGTAATTTTCTGATAGATGGACTTAGTTTTTTTACAGTTAACATTTACAGACAGTCTGGGATTAAATTTTTTTGATATGATAAGTTTGTTAACCTTGTTAGTTGGTTCTATAATTTTCTTTTGAATTTATATTTTCAAGGAACATAACTGCTGAAAATATAATTGATCAGTGATAATTTTTGAACTTGACCAGACATTACTGATAAAATCTGGCAAGAATTGTACACTTGACAGTGCTTACAATGCAGTTTTCCAAAAATTGATATTTCCCAGGGGCAGAACTCTTTTTAAAAATAATTGATTGGCACTGAATTTTAAACTTTGTCAGAGACATTGCTGATATTAACCTTCAATATAAATTTCATAAAGTTCTGGCAATAATTGTATAAGTGAGAGCACTTTCAATGCAGTTTTCAATAAAATCAATATTTCCAAGGGGCATAACTCTTTTAAAAATAGCTGGTCGCCACTAATTTTAGAACCGGTTTGATACATTGCTGATTTAAACCTTTGATATAATTTCAATAAATTCTGGCAATAAATGTACACATGAGCGCGCTTACAATGCAATTTTCTATAAAATTATTATTTCCAAGGGGCATATCTCTTTGAAAAATTGTTGGTCTCCACATATTTTTGAACATGTCCGAGATATTACTGATATAAACCTTCGGATATAAATTTTATAAAATTCTGGCAATAATTGTACACTTGAGAGCGCTTACAATGCAATTTTTCCGTAAAATTGATATTTTAAATGGCATAAATCTTTGAAAAATAATTGATCTGCACTGATTTTCAAACTTGTCCAAGACATTGCTAATATACATGCTGTTTTCGGCTCTTTGGTTGGGTTGTTGTCTCTTTGACACATTCCCCATTTCCATTCTCAATTTTATTTGATATAATTGTTTTTCAAAAATAAGGCAAAAATCATAAATGTGAGAGCGCATACAAGACTAGACAGACAGATGCCTGGTATTTCTACATTAGTTGGCTCAGAAGTTATATATTATTTACCTTAGTTAACTGTCTCCATTAGATATTAAACGGGAAGTTACCAAAAGTTGTGTATACCTAAAAAATATAATACAACAATAATAAACTTAACTTAACTAGATATGCCTTACAATAAGACAAATAATAAACTAATCAAGAGTTGTTCTTATAATTAATAAATGTTTCAGTTAAAATTCAATCATATTGAAATGCAGCAATTTATATTTTTCACTTTATACTGCATAAAATTATAATTTTTCTTAATGCCCAGTAGATCTTACAAAATTGAATATTGCAATGTTGACCTACAAAATCATAAAATATAGTTCAAAATAAAACTTCACCACGAACAGCCTTTGTCACAGCTCAAAATCACATGACACAGAGTACATACTTTATCATTTGATACTGTCAGCATTAAATCACATAACACAGAGTACACACTTAATCATGTGATACTGTCAGTCTCAAATCACATGACAAGAGTACATACTTTATCATTTGATACTGTCAGCATTTTAAAACTACAGTATAACACACACTATTCTGCACACCTACCACTTTCCTGGGAGACTTAGTATTAGGTGTTACTTTCATCAGACGTGTCATACTTGTCAACCATTGGCTTATATCATTTAGTTTAGGCTTTATGGTTTGTTTTTTTGCCTTGATTTTTTTCATTAAACTACAATAAAAAAAACATTAAATATATTTCTGGAGACAACCATGCAAACAAGTAATATAACTCAATGAAGGTTCATAGCCTTGATCTTTGTCAGTAAACAGGGATGTGGGGTAAAGGTCAATGAGACAGCATCCAATAGGAATCTGGTACAGTGCTAAAAAATAAAAATGCTGAAGGCAATATAGAAATTATTACTTGATCTGGTTAAATCTGAAAGACAAGAGTATAAAACACCAGTCAGTTAAATAACTTTAATAATTTAAACTAAATTCAGTGGTTGTTGTTTGTTGCTGTATATCATATTTGTTTTTTGTTCATTATTTTGTACATAAATCAGGCAGATAGTTTTTTCATTTGAATTGTTTTACAATTTTGTCATTTTGGGGCCTTTTATAGCTGACTATGCAGTATGGGTTTTACTCATTGTTGAAGGCTGTATGCTGACCTATAGTTGTTAATTTCTGTGTCATTTGGTCTCTTGTGGAGAGTTGTCCCATTGGCAATCACACCACAGCTTCTTATTTTTATAATAACTCAAGGTTCTTAGCATTGATCTTTTATATCAAGTAGGAATAAACAGGGATGTGGGGTATAGGTCAATAAGAAGCAACCAATAGGAATCTGGTACAGTGCTAAAAAATAAAAAATAAAAATGCTGAAGGCAATCTAGAAATAATTACTTGATCTGGTTAAATCTGAAAGACAAGAGTATAAAACACAAGTCAGTTAAATAACTTTAATAATCTAAACTAATATAACAAAATAAATTATAAATCTGCTCTTAATAGATATAAGAAGATGTGGTATGAGTGCCAATGAGACAACTCTCCATCCAAGTCATAATTTATAAAAGTAAACCATTATAGGTCAAAGTACGGTCTTCAACACGGAGACTTGGCTCACACCGAACAGCAAGCTATAAAGGGCCCCAAAAATTACTAGTGTAAAACCATTCAAACGGGAAAACCAACGGTCTAATCTATATAAAAAACGAGAAACGAGAAACACTTATGAACCACATCAACAAACGACAACTACTGAACATCAGATTCCTGACTTAGGACAGGTGCAAACAATTGCAGCAGGTTTAAATGTTTTAATGTTACCAAACCTTCACCCTTATCTGAAACAATAGCGTAACATCACAACATAGAAAGACACACTATAAAATATCAATTGAAATGGCTTAACTCAATCAAAAGACATATTAACACCAGTGAACATACACTGAACAAATAAATTTGATCTATGATACAATGTAAATACAAAACAAGAAATGATTGTAACAGGATGCTGTTACGAAGTCTCCCAAACGAAGCTCCCATAATTCGTAATTCCCAGGGTCGCCTGACATTGGACAAAGTCCAGTGAAAATTGGTTTGGTCCAGTAAAGTTATATGCATTAGTGATGCCTGGGGACTAACCCTGTATATCATTCAAATCATCTTGGCATGACAAACCAGAATATATATGGTTTAGGGGTGGGGATCTCGACCATTAACAAGATACTAGAACATTGGGAGTGGGGGGAACCCCTGGGGACTGACCCTATACGTCATTCAAATGTTCGAGACATGACGAACAGGAATATATATGGTTTAGGGGTAGGGGGAACCCCTGGGGACTGGCCGTATACGTCATTCAAATGTTCGAGACATGATGAACAGGAATATATATGACTAACCCTGTATTTCATTCAAACCATCTTCGCATGACAAACCATAATATATATGGTTTAGGGGTGGGGATCTCGACCATTTACAAGATATAAGAACTTTCTCAAATGGCAGGGGGGCGGGATGAACCCTGGGGACTAACCCTGTATATCATTCAAACCATCTTAGCATGACAAACCAGAATATATATGGTTTAGGGGTGGGGATCTTGACCATTTACAAGATATTAGAACTTTCTTAAATGGCAGGGTGTGGGGGTGACCCCTGGGGACTAACCCTGTATTTCATTTAATGTGCATTATCATTTAGAACATTTTCAAATAAAAAGATTGTGTCTATCACAAACGGTTTTCAATTTATAATCATTTGAAAACTTAAAAAAATAAAATCCCATAGGGTTCTATAGTAAAACCCTCCTTTCTTTTTGCCCCTCAAAGTACCCCTTTATAAACCCCATTGCACAAACAAAACCCTGATTGCACCACTAGACATGTTAGTCTAACATATTGTGAAACCCTAAGTTAATCTGACAAGCGGTTTTGGAGAACGGGTGCGGACAAGTTCAAATTTAAAAGCAGCGGAAGAAGAAGAAGAAGAAGAAGAATTAATAAATAAACTAAGGAAAGAATAATTAAAGTAACATGTTATACCGCTGTGAAATGTTATTCAATTTAAGAAAAACAATATGCTTGAACAAAAATATCAGCCATTTGCAATTACTTTAAACACAGGTAAATGAAAATAATTTTGTTGTTAGGTATACTTGTACGTTTACAGTTCAAATGGAGAAAGGAAATATTTTTACAAAATAAATAATTTTGATGTTCATAGTACGAAGAAGTGAAAATTTATAGTAATACCAAACACTTATCAAAGCTGGTATATAGACCAGATATAACCCTGAATAAGTAAACATTAAATAATAAAAAAGCATTACAATTAGTATCAACAGGTCAAATAAACAAGAAAGTACGATTTGAGAGTACTCGCAGTTACTGACAGCTAGTTAAAAGCCAAAAACAATTAATAATAAAAAATCATGCATCAGAGACTAAAATCAACTAAAACACATCCCAGGGATTTAGTATTTTAATGTCATGGACAGTCAAAGAAGACATGACTTGTGCAATACCAAAAATGAATGTATCGAAAGGCAGTAGGATAGTTAGGAGTTAAACCTCTTTATAGATCAAAATGAACGTGGGTGTGTCTTTATACATCCCGTTTGAAAAGAATACAAATTTAGTTATGTTTTAATTTGCTGATGACAAAATCGATATTAGTGCCAATGTAAACTATATTCAAAGATCTAATTACAACATTGGTAAGATAACCTTTACTAACAAGTTTGTTTAAAGGTTCGATGAGTTTACACGGATCACATAGTGATTTCCGCGCTTTAAGTACAATATTACCGTAAAATTTAGGATGTGAAATACTGTTTTTTATCAGTTTTCTACAAGGACAGCCAAATTTAGTAATCAAATCTTTGTATCTATGAAAGAATTTAGTAAAAGTTACGTAATTTATGGTAACGAAATCCCTGACTTAATAATTTACCAGTGATGCATTGATTACGTTCGTTAAAATCTATGACATCACTACACACACAGGCATAACGAACGAGTTGGGATATATAAACACCATATGATGGAGCCAAAGGAACATCGCCGTCTAAAAAAGGAAAATTAACAATAGGGAATGAAAAGTCGTCTCTTTTGTCGTAAATTTTAGTATGGAGTTTTCCTTTAGAGATTGAAATGTCCAAATCTAGAAAAGGACAACTACTGCTGTTTATGTTAGATTTAGTTAAAGTAAGTTCTTTTGGATAAATTTCGGTAGTATATTTATAGAACTCTGGATTATTTAACGAAAAAATATCATCTGATAACGGAAGGTATTGTTGAATGTATCAACCAAATGTAACAATGACGTGTCTTTACTGAGTTTGGTCATAAACTGAGATTCATAGCAATACAGGAATAAATCTGCTATTATAGGGGCGCAGTTAGTGCCCATAGGAATACCTACTACTTGTTGATACACTTTTATCGCTGAAACGTACATATATGTTGTCCAGGAGAAAATTTGAAGCTTCAATCAAATCTTCACATTTCCAGTAAGTGTATCTAGCATACTTTCCTTTTTCGTTACAAAAAAAGGCTTTAAACGAGTTACAGCAAATAAATTTGTAATGAGATTTTTCAAAAGACCATTTAATTAAATATGAAAACTTTTTCTTGATAAGATTGTGTGGAAGTGTAGTATAGAGATAACAGTCAACAGAATTAAAAGGACCATCAAAAGCATGTATTTTATCTAAAACCTCTAAAGAATTTTTAACACTCCAAAAATAGTTAATACCATTATTTTCATAAGCTTTATTACAAAAGTTTATAACAAGTTCTTTGATAGTAGTAAGGAAGGTAGTTAGATTTGTAGTAGAACACTTACTAGATGCGGAGATGAAACGGAATTTAAATGGTTTTTTGTGCAATTTAGGTAACCAGTACATAGTAGGGACTTTCAAATGTTCGGAAGAGGCTTTAAGCTGGGTAGTGGCAGTGATATGCTTGTTTACAATTTGACTCTCTGTGGAGCGTACGGACTGAATGTAGAAGAATTTGTAATTTCGTTTTGGAGAACTTCCGTGTAGTATATGCGTCACACCACCACTACATTATCTGCTGCTTTGTCTGCCGGTACGAACACAAACCGCTTTGCGAGTACTTGGAGTTTATTTTTTATTTTAGAAATAAGAACATCATGGACCCTTTTACTAATTTCAGAATTGTTTTCAAAATGAGATATACGTTATTAACAGTATTCATAATTTTATTCAAATAACTGTCTAGAGTTTTTTATCAGATTTTTCACGTTTACACCAATTTTTACAGTAGACGGACAGAGCGTCTTTAATGACCTGACGACACTGTTTCCAATCTATTTTAGATGGAGGACGATATTTTGGTCCTTTCTTAAGAAAAGTTATGACCTCACAGTCTTCGACGATGTTGAGGTCTCCTGTAAGGACATGACCACAGGGAACATATCTAAAACTAGATGTTTCACAGTCTCAAGTGGAAGGAAATTATTTTCTATATTGACGTCTGATGTAACTGACGTATAATTAAAAATCAAACTTCTGCTGTTTTTTTTTATAAGAATACGAAATAATAGGTGGTTCTATATTATCAAAATATGGAGGTATTTGGCTTTGGATGGTAGAGTCATTGAATATACTAGATAAATTAATAAAATCAATACCTCTATTTATATATTTTAATTTAAGAAAATGCCGTTTATGATTTTCAGGTTTATCGATACTAGGAAATAGCCTATGATGACAAAAAGCTGTAATAATACGGGTGTATTCATACATTGGGCTAAAAAAAGAAATTTTATCACACTCCAGAAAAATAGCATATAATTTACTTATTGGTATCTGACCCAGTTTGCATAATACTTGATGTCTGCCATTATTTTTTATTATAGATAACAGATCAGCAAGTGTATAATTTAAACGATGTTTAATACGTTGATTATGTTTTTTGCATTTGCCATGAGACCTTTTATTTCTAAGTCGTTTATTGACAATATTAATGACATCGATTGAAGTTTTAGTTATGTTCCCCTGTCCTAATATTTTGTCATTAAGACCGAGAGGATAAGCTGTTTGAAGTCTTTTTATCCAAAATAATTCGCGAACTTCACATGATTTTTCAAATTGCTTGTGTGATTCTCCTGGTTGTTTCTGAACGGTTTCAAGTGGTTGGAATTTTATAAATTTTAGATTGTGACTATGTTTATCTAAATGTTGATATATCAAACTTTTGAATTTTTTAGGTCTACAAAAGCGGTAAAGTTGTTCTTGATTTCTTCTGTAATACCACACTTAGGTTGGGTTCAAGTTACCACATATATAAGGTTTTGAGTTTTTCAGGTAATGTCACAGGAAAAGGAGAGCGAAAAAGCTCTCCCGTTCACTGTTGACCTAACAGTATTTTGTGAAGTTAATCTAAAACAGGTTAGTCTTGTTAATTTAGCACACTTTTCATTGATATTAAATATCTTAAAAAAAGGTAAATTTCAGAAATCAATTCTGGATGTACTAGTAGTATTTCTATTACAGTGAAAAACCTCAACACTTCAATTTTATTTATTCTCATCATTTGTCATGCTGACATCTGCCACCTATACACAATACTGAAATTACTGATTAATCTTTTTAAAAATATATTGTACCTTGTTCTATCCATCTGAAGTTGTAACAATTTCTCTCTTAACATTTTCACATCTTTCCTTGACTGAAATAAAAGTAATAAAACTTTGTTTTTAAGACATTCTCATTCACCAGGATTTAAATGTGATGTCAACAATTTCCAGTTTCTAAACAAACATATCCAAACTGAAGATATTTGGTCTACTTTAAACTCCTGCAATTAGCCCTTACCATGGGTCTTTTAAAATTATCCAAAGAGAATAAAGAATTTTGTTTGGTTACAACTTTAATGATGTGAGCTCGAGTCCAAAAGGCTTTAATGGAAACCGATGTGCTGTATCCTAGCTGGAAGTGATTTTTTTTTTTTGCACACGATTTCTGTCATTTTTTTAAGGAATATATATAATGCTTCCATATGTGAAAATGTAACTCTTTTCTCTATATCATGATAAATGTCAGATACCATATAAACATACAATTGATAGTCTATGGCGATGATAGCAAATCTTTGGCAGTCTATTTAATTTATTCAAAATCTGTATAGAATATAGACTTTTAAGCGATACAGAACTTGACACAATTCTTTAATGATGAAGAATTTATGTTGATCTTGAGATACTTTTGTTTTGTTGTGTAGGATTGCTGTCTTATTGGTGCATACCTTATATGTTTTATTTATAAAGATGCTTCAAAACAAACATATTCATGTTGAATCCTGGTAAACATACCCTTGACAAATCTTTTTTGTCTTGTTTCAAATCTTCAATCTTGTTAATCTGAAAAAAAAAAACCCAAATACAATCAATCTTTTAATTAAATATCAGGCATAATGATGAAAGTAACACTATTTGAAATACATATGCATGATTTCAAAACATCAGTTTGTGCATTTTAGCCGTTTTCAGTAACTGCCAACAATCTACAGCTTGATGTTCAACTATTTTTGAAGACCATATATATTAACCTCTAGATGTCTTTTGTAAAGCTTTATTTTTCATGTCACTGGTCAAAATAAAAAGTTTTGGTGTTTTCGAGTTTCCCTATCTTACCCAATTTTTCATACCTCAAAATGCCATAAGTTTTAATTGCCACTTTTGGCAGTGAATCATAACCATTTTGCATGCCATATGAGTATAAATAAAATTAAAATATCAAAAATAATTGTGAGCACTGAAGGGGTAAAGATTGCATTCATTTTGCAGTTGGAGCTAAAAATTGAACATTACACTGTATTAAGCACTGGAAGGTTCAACTACAATTATGGACAAAGGTAGATAACTCCCATTATAAATATTACTTTAACAATGACATCATTGATATTTTTAGAATAAATACTAGATTTATGCACAATTTATGTTCTTCTCTTGGCAAGTATGGTTTTCACATTCTCATTATTTTGTAATTTGAATATCTAAGTATATATTTCAATGATAAATTTCTTTAAATGGTCATGGATAAGACATAGAGAATGTTGTGCTGAATGCACTATATTTTTTTTCTTCTCAAAAGTAGTGATAAAGTTTGGAAAATTACTGGCTATCAAGACAGTACCATAAGGGTTTTGATTGCATGAATGCAATGTATACCCCAAAAACCTACCTTCACTATTTTTCAAAAGGAGGAACCCAAAAAAAACATATTATTTTTTGTTTGTCCTCATTGATATATTCATTTTTCTTCCAGAACAAGCCATTCTGTATATATTTTCCACATTTTTTTTCTTCATATGACAGAAATATGAATGAACTTACATGAATTGACATATAATGTGATTTTGATTAACATACATTAAATAAGAACCAATCATCATACAATTTGTACTTCAGGTAAAATAGAAAATTATTTCTATCATACCGTGTCAGTGATCTCTTTCCTGGTGTACACAAGCATACTGTTTAATGCTTTCTTTCCTAAACTTTCTGAACATCCAGACCTGAAACAAGTTTAAAATAGTAGCTTATATTTTTTATTGATTAAAAAAACCCAGCTTTTCCTGGGAGTGTGATGAAGTCGGCAAGATGCACTTTTTCAAAATAGATATTTGGCTTTCATGATTGACTCATTTTATACACAAATGTACCATTTAAATTGCTTACATTTGATATAATTAATAGTCACACTTTTTTAAAATATTAATGATATATGTATCTTAAAAGAGATTTCCCAATTAACAATCCATCTAGTTTCAAAAGTTTGACCACTCGGCCAACAAGGCCCCCTTTCGCTTAGTGTGAAATGAGTACTAAACTATTATACAATATACTGTCAACACATCCTAGTAACCTACCGGTAATCACAAACTTAAACAATTGTTGAGGCCACCGACAGCATATCTGGCTGTTGCAACATATTAGGCAATTTATCAAATTATTGAACTGTGCATGTTTGGTTTTACTTCTTTGCGATTTTCAGAGCAAAAAAATATAGTTCACAGAATGAATTAATTTCAAGTTCCTGGTTTCCCCTACCACCTAAAGACTGGTATCTAACAAATATATATGAATCCAAAGTATTTGGCAAAATTGCCACCATGTCCAATTAGAATGGAATATAGGAAACGCTAAGCCTTGTAGACAATTCCCAAAATTTGTATTGTTTAAAAATATCTTACTTTGTAATATCAGAGGAAAAGAAATGACTGGATGCACTATGACCTTGAATGGCCCAAAAATAAAGAATAAGTAGCAGAACTTTCAATCTTTATGACATTGTCTTTGTGTCATTATTTGCTTTAAATAAAAAAATAAAAAATTTCAAGAAATACCTGTTTATCAACATTTTTCTGCAAATTTAGTACTATAAATTAGAATTTACCTGCATTAGCTTTATGTAAATTATAATTTTTCAACCAAAGGACTTTTAAATGTACCAAATACTATATAAACTGAAATCTCCAGAACACATTCCATAATTTTGGGGGATTTTGCAAGATTTTCTCATAGACTACCATTTAAGTTGATGACTTTCAGGGAAATGAAATTGATATTGATATTTTCAGAATTTCTCGGTAAATTCAATGTGTGAACTAAAATGAAACTAGACAAAGTGATGCCCTGCACTCCACTCTGAAGTAAATGTATGACTTTCTTTGAGATATTATTGTGTCTGGGAGACACAAATGATGCCCCCGCAGATGCAAAGTGTTATTTTAAAATACACAAAGTTGAGCATGGGAGCACATAGGTCTATGGTTCACTGTAGGGGGAGTTATCCGGAAACGCTATGCACCTCTTATGCAAGTATATACTCCATAATGACAAAGTTCAACATTCTCCCAAAAGAGCAAATATTAATAAAAATCAAAACCCTGACCACATGCACATCTTCAATATATGTACAAACAGCCAGCAAAGTGAAAACTTCCTAGCATTCAAACTGTAGGAGGAGTTATCTGGAATAGCTATATACCTATAATGGGATGAACACACGGAAGGACGGCTTGACGGCCAGACAGGGGTAAAACAATATGCCCCCCAACTTTCAGTTGCGGGGGTATAAAAAACTAAATTTAGTATTCCCCAATGATGCAGCAAACCAATGACCCAAATTAACAAAAGATATCTAGGTCAATTGAGTTAGCAAGGGAAAACCTACCGTCGTTCATCAATTGTATTAGTGATTGTTTCTAGTACAATATCTAGATCTATCAGGTCTCCTTTTGTCCTATTTCTATCATTGCCTTTCCACATTCGTACAGTTCTTTCTGAAATAAAATAAAAACAACCCTCTAATAATACAATTGTTCTAAACCCATTCACAGTAACCCCTGCCTTATCATTTTTGTAAATAAACAACAATGTTTATACTGCAACCATGTTATTTTGTGGGGTACCAATTCAAAACAAGATTTAAGATTTCTTCACATGTCAAACAGAATTCTAAATTGTAATGTTACGAACATTAATTGAGATTTTAAGAAAATAAATCAAAATCATTATTTTCTAGTTACCAGTAGAAAGACATACCTTCATTGAAAGATTCTGGTTCGTCAGCAACAATCCTCACTTTCTTTTTCACAGCATTTATTGACTTTTTCCTTGCAGGTGTATCAGATGATACATGTACTAGTATCTTTAATAAATATAAGTAAAACATCGATAAAAACAATTCAGTTAAAAATTAAAGAACCTTTGTGAGCATGCTCACATACCCAAGGCCCCCACATTGACAGTGGGCAAACAAAATCTTACTAGATTCCTAAGTTCAAAGACTCATAACTCCTCCAAAAGTCAGCTGATAATAATTTCTTGAGGATATGGACATCTACATATTATGTTATTATTATCTACAAAGTTTTATGAAATTCTGTTGTGTGGTTTCTGAGGAGTTGCAATGACAAACTGTTGCAGTTTTATATTAAGCATACCTGACAACCCTCCCGTTTTGAGAGGGAGTCTCCCGCGCAAACGACTAAATTCCAGAAATCTCCCGCTTGCCGGTCCGCTTCCGCACAGGAGTATAAAATCTCCTGCTTTCTGATATTTTGATCTGGAATAACACGCATTTGTAATTCTCTGGCTTTTTCATTACTTTCAATAGAAGTAAATAAACAATCGGTGATCATTTGAAAACTTTGCTCAGAACTTTTTATGTTCGATATATAAGTAATCGAAATTCAGTTCTGCTATATCAACTCCAACAAGATAGAGGTCTTTGTCTGGACCAAGCGGCAGTGTAAAAAAGAAGAAATAGATAACTGCAAATCAAAATGTCAAGCAGATTTGAATGAAAGATTTTCAATTTTTACTACCAAAAGTTCACTTGGAAATGAATTTTTTTGCACTTCTTGTTCAATCAACTTTTCGATTTCTGGTGGTCTGTACAAGGTTTGAATGCATGCTTAGTGTGAGACTCACAACAAAATCAAAATATGGAATGTTATGAGTTATGAGACTCTGAGGTATTAAAAAAGGCTAAAAAAAACCCACCTTGTATAGATTATAACCATGAATTGAAGAAATAGAGTATATTTATTAACTCTTATTGGTGTTTTGTAAATGAATACGTAAACATGTCATATATCTAACTTGAAAATGTTGTTCGCGCAAAATCTCCCCCTCAGCTGTCATAGCTGGAGATCTCCCTCTTTAAAGGTTTCAGAGGTTGGCAGGTATGATTAAGGCCAAAATTCTGAGTCAAAGGGAAATAACTCCTAGAAAAAAAATAGAATCATAATTTCCTGTTGATATGTACATCTACATAGTATGTCCTTATTATCTACAAAGTTTCAGGAAATTCTGTTGTGTGGTTTCAGAGGAGTTCCGATGACAAGAACAGGACTGACAGACTGTAGTATATTGAGGCCAATAAGATCAAAGGGGCATAACTCCTAGAAAAAATAAATTGGATCATAATTTCCTGTCGATATGCACATCTACATAGTAAGTCCTTATTATCTACAAAGTTTCATGAAATTCTGTTGTGTAGTTTCAGAGGAGTTGCGATGACAAACTGTTGCAGTAGTATATTGAGGCCAATAAGTTCAAAGGGGCATAATTCCTAGAAAAAAAAATTGAATCATAATTTCCTGTATATATGCACGTCTACATAGTATGTCCTTATTATCTACAAAGTTTCAGGAAATTCTGTTGTGTGGTTTCAGAGGAGTGCCGATGACAAGAACAGGACTGACAGACTGTAGTATATTGAGGCCAATAAGTTCAAAGGGGCATAACTCCTAGAAAAAAAATTGAATCATAATTTCCTGTCGATATGCACATGTACATAGTATGTCCTTATTATACACAAAGTTTCATGAAATTCTGTTGTGTGGTTTCAGAGGAGTTGCGATGACAAAATGTTGCAGTAGTACTTAGTATATTGAGGCCAATAAGTGCATAGGGGCATAACTCCGAGAAAAAAAATTGAATCATAATTTCCTATCGATATGCACATCTACATAGTATGTCCTTATTATCTATAAAGTTTCATGAATTTTGTTGTGTGGTTTCAGAGAAGTTGCAATGACAAGAATAGGGCTGTTGGACTGACGGACAGACAGACAGACGGACAGGTCAAAAACATTATACCCGACGCAAAAATTGCGTGGGGTATAATAATAATAAACATTTGTGGGTCAAATGCCTACATATCATTGGCAATTAACCATATTATTACACAATATATATTTCCATTTTTTTGCTGAACTAGTACACATTTTTGTTTAGGGGCCAGCTGAAGCCTGCCTCCGGGTGCCTGATTTTCTCTCTGTGTTGAAGACCCATTGGTGGCCTTGGGCTGTTTTCTGATCTTTGGTCAGGTTGTTGTCTCTGTGACACATTCCCCATTTCTATTCTCCATTTTATTGCTTATTCATATTAGGTTAAACGGTTTTACCTTTTTGGTTAATGAATTATGTATGAAAACACACATTTTTGCACCTAAAAACTCCTAAATCCTATGCACACACTTACACGAAACACAAAATTAAATTTTCATTATTTTATAAAGTTTAAAGAATCTATACATTCTGAAATGTCCTCCCTGTTTTACTGAAAATAAATTTGTTTTGCTTTTTGTCATCATTCTGAAATGTATAGTGTTTTCACCTCAAGAAACAGCATCAGAAAGGGCTTTTCCTGGTATTCAAAATTGTTGAAACAGTCAATCAAAAATGTTTAAAAATAAAATCTTTTAGATTGAAACATAACACAGAAAACTAAACACTCAACATCAAGAACCCCACAAAATACCTGGATGATCTAAGGTAATTAAAAAACCCTACCGATTCTATTTCTCTTGGATGGTCACAATGGTTATGCAAACTCTGTTTTTTGTTACCCAGCACTTCTCTTTCATTAGCTGTATCAACAAGGTCATCTTCAGTAAGATGGGATGATTCTATTTCTCTTGGATGGTCACCATGGTTATGTGACCTCTGTTTTTTGTTACCCAGCACTTCTCTTTCATTAGCTGTATCAACAAGGTCATCTTCAGTAAGATATGATGATTCTATTTCTCTTGGATGGTCACCATGGTTATGTGACCTCTGTTTTTTATTACCTGATACTTCTCCCTCATTATCTGTATCAACAAGGTCATCTTCAGTACGATGGGCCGATTCTATTTCTCTTGGATGGTCACTATGGTTATGTGAACTCTGTTCTTTATTACCTGACGCTTCACCCTCATTATCTGTATCAACAAGGTCACCTTCAGTATGATGGGAAAATTCTTTTTCTTCCTGTCCAATTTCTTCTTCATTGATTTCATGAACATCTAACAATTTTGGTTCCATCTGATGCTCAGTGCTGTTGATATCTGTTTCCATGGAAACAACATCCTCTTGACATGAGGAATTTTTATTTTCAGATAAGGACAATTCATGTTTTTCATTTGACCTTGAACTTTTAGACAATGTTGAATTTTTTTCATTTCCCTTTTGCTGATTTTGGAAACTAGTTTCATTTATTTTATTTTCTTTGTGTCCAGTGTTCGTATGTAATTCGCTCAGGGGGGATAACCTTGAAGTATTTTGTTTTTCTGTTCGTTGATCTTGATCTGTATTCTTTCTTACTTCACTATCTATAGACTTTTCATCACTACTTGCAGTTCTAAAAATATCTTCTCTTGATTTGTATCCATCACTTTCTTCAAAGGATTCAGAAAATACATGTTGGTCTTCTGTTATGTCTTCACTTTCTTCTGTACTTACCTGTCGTCTGCTGATATCGCTATTTATAGATTTTGAGTTATTTTTAGATATTTTGTCTGATTCACTGTCATTATCAAGTTCGTTTAATTTTCTTTCATTCCAATTTTCTACATAACTAATATTTACTGGGTTTACTGCAGTGCTCATATGGTTTTGACCAGAAATGTCCTTTTGTTGGAACCTTGATGATCTTTGATGATCTTTGATCACATTTTCTCTAGAAATTTCTTCATTTTCTTCTGTTACATTTTCTGGATTATCTCCTGAAATTTCTTCACTGTCTTCTATTACGTTATCACTTGAAGTTTCTATTTTTTTCAGACCTTCTTTTTGCCTACTAATTGTAACTTTTGTTTGTCTATTGACCATTTCTTCGGAAGAAGTACTGTACAAGGTGTCATTATCAGTATTTTTATGATCCAATTTTGTTAATCTTGAACTTCTTTTTTCATTTATGTCAGTGGTTTGATCTTGGGAATCTAACGATTCTAATCTTGATCTTCTCAATGATTTCTGAGGACTATCTCCATCAGACTTCCTGGGTGAAACTTTTTGCAATCTTGATCTTCTCACTGATTTCTGAGGACTGTCTTCATCAGTCTTCATAGGTGAAACTTTCTGCAATCTTGACCTCCTCCTAGATTTATGAGGACTTTCTTCATCAGAGTTCATGGGAGAAACTTTCTGCAATCTTGATCTTCTAACTGATTTTTGAGGACTATCTTCAGCAGACTTCATAGGTGAATCTGCCTGCAATCTTGAATTTCTTACTGATTTCTGAGGACTATCTTGATCAGAGTTCATCTGTGAAACTTTATGCAATCTTGAACTTCGTCTCCCATCATCAATATTTGTATTTCTAGATAATGCTTGTTCATTGATAGAAGTCTTTAACTTTTTGCAAGAGGCTAGTTCCCTTTCAACTTTCTTATCATTCTGAACCACAATTCCTCCTTCTGATTCATCAGCACCATCTATGCGTTCTAATTCTATTCTTAAACTCTTTTCTGAAATATCAACATCAGCCATTTTTGCTGATGAAATTTTTGTTGACATTACAGAATTATTATTGACACTGCTATTATGAACTGATTGAAACGGCCTTTTCCTTGGAGATTGCCTGAGTGTCTCCTCCTTGCTTTGCCTATACAAAGGTGATGTGGAATCACTGGAAACTTCATCTATCACAATAGAATGTCTGACAGCTTGCAAATTCTTTGAAGCTTTATCCTCATTCTGTCTTGGTTTTTTTCTTGGAGATCTGCTAATAGTTTCAGTATCAATCTGTTTTAGTTTTTTTCTTGGAGATGTTCTAAAAGTTTCAGTATAACTTTCTTTGTTTGAGTCGAGAGTCGAGGTGATTGTTCCTTGATCTGACCCTGTAGTCTTGAACTCTGAACTTGATGATACATTATCATCTGACTCCACTTGTACTTTCTGTTTTGTTCTTGACCGTAGTGATGCATGTGTCAATATATCACTTCCATTCGCAGATTTATTTTTTCTTGTCTGAGAATAGGGACTTAGGTCCGAGTTCAAATCACTTCCATTTTCACTACCTATAATTATAAACAAATAAAGATTACTATTTTCTGCCATTAGTGTTCAATCATATCTTAAAGGGGCACTAGCTGTCAAATTCATGTTCACCGATTTGACTCAAATTCTCATATCTAATGTATAACAATGTAAAACATTTATCCAAATTATAAAAAGTCTAAAATAAACAATTTACAGGGCATAGGGTGGATAATATGTAGCTTCGTTTTGTGTGTATTTTAGTCTAGACACCATCTAATTAACTGTTGAGTTGACCTCCCGAAAACCACCGATCCCTTATAAGGTATATAAACATAAATAAAGATATAAATAGATAGCGCAACTCATGCAAATGGATTCTTCTAGGTCTACTAAATTTCATTTATAGATTAAAAATATATGTTAATCATCATTTTTACCTGTATAAGAATGATTTTTTTGAGGATTGAATCAGTCAATTAAATGATAAACCTTTGTTTCACTTTCAATGTTGACATTCTTTTCCTTTAAATAATCAAACATGCACACAATTCATGCTTTTTCCATCTCTAGCTTAGGGGTTAAATTGAAGTTCACATGAATACCGATTCAATGAGGTGGAATTATTCACTTGCAAGTGAATAATTCATCATCAATATTTCTTTGCTTATTTTGACAAAATTATACAATACTAGCTGCTAAAAGCGAATTATTATTTCACTATTTCACTTTCATTAATGATTGAACAAAAAAAATCATGTTTTATAATTTTTTTATATCTCGTAGCTAGTGCCCCTTTAAAACTTTTACTATTTTTTAACATTAGACATGTTGTTAGAACTGAAATAACTTACAAATAAAAATACTTCTTGAGAAAGATAATTTTCCCTACAAATTCTTTGTTTTTTGGCATCAGTTATGACGAGATACATGTAATAGATAAGTTTCGATATGATGTAATTTGAGTTTGAGCTATATCTGCTGGCTTTCATTTGGAGGTGTAAGTTACTGATTTTCTTATTTAACTGTCAAAATTGAAATATGTGGTACTAACACATTTGATTGTAGTGATGAATGAAGCAATGCTGAAAAAAAAATTAATATTGTTCCGAAAACAACTTTTTCTAGTGGTGAATATAACAAGTTTGGATTTGGGTGATGCATGAAGGAATTGTGCATGTAGAATTCAATCCTGACAAGAAAAGGGAAGTAACTCTTGCTATAAGATTTTCTATAAGAATGTATGCAGGCTTTGGCAAAACCACGAAATCAAATATCCAAGAAAATGCAAGTTTTCCTCAATCCACGAAAGTTGGTACCCACGAAATTAATGAACCCACAGTATTGAAACTCTTTGTGTAAAGCTTTTCTTTTATCAGTCTATGACTGAATAAAACATTTCATCTTGTTATTTTGCCAACTGACAATCAATAGACCATTTTCATATTACCAACTTTTGACTCCAGAGTTTATATTTTTTCGACAGGTTACCTACTTTCGGGTAGGACATCCTGGTACTCAGTCAAATAAGAGCAACTTAAAGAAGTAAAATCAAGCTTACAATCGGTACAATTTGGAGGGAAAAATAGTTCTGTGTTTTCTGTACATAGCAAAATCATCAAAAAACACTAAACTCCCCCCCACCCCCCCCCCGAATTGTACCGATTATGTGTTTGATTTTACTTTTTTTGGTTGCTTTTACTTTTTTGGTTGCTCTTACTTGACCGAGTACCAGGATGTCCTACCACAGAGTAGGTAACCTGCCGAAAAATTGTATAATCCGGAGTCAACAAGCACAAAGACCCTTCATTTTTTTCAGTCTTTTAAAAAGCTTGTTTTTTTGAAACAGGGTAGCGAACATCCTTAACAACTTAACATTATACCTTCTGGTGTGTCTGATGGTAGATTGACTCCTTCTAGGATGGCTGGTATGGAACTTTTTCTTTTAAGATTACTAAGTGATGCACTCAATCTGGTTGACGCATTTGATCTAAGACTATCTCTTCTTTTATTGGTCTAAAAATAAATATATAATTGAGGCCACACTTATATTTTGGTTTGCCCAAACCCTACCCAAAGGTAGAGACAGTGGGTAGGTAGGTAGGCACTTTCTTTTTTTTTCAGCAAAGAGAAATTGAAGTTTCAGATGTTTTTTTAATCTTCATGCCTATCTGATTAAAAAAAAAAACTTTTTCACATCAGGACAATAAAAGATTTTGAGTAGGCAGCTATTTTCTAGGCAGGTAGGGTTAGGGCAAACAAACATATTATTTTTTATGGCCTGAGTCTTTAGTTTTCTATGTTGTGTTTTGTATACTGTTGTTTTTCTTTTGGACTCTTTGCCATGGCTTTCCCAGTTTATTTTTGACTTATGAGTTTGAATGTCCCTTAGGTATTTTTCGGCTCTTTTTTAATATTACAGTAAATTAAGTTAAATTGTATTGTATGTAAAAGCAATTTTTTCAGTTAACACCAGGAAATTATGAATGATAAAACATGACATTCTATTGACTATTTTCATATTACCGACTTTTGACTCCGGAGTTAATATTTTTTCGACAGGTTACCTATTCTGTGGTAGGACATCCTGGTATTCGGTCAAGGAAGAGCAACTTAGAGAAGAAAAATCAAGCTTACAATCGGTACAATTTGGGGGGAAAATTAACTGTTTCATGTTTTTTATATATGACAAAATAATCGGAAAACAGTAAACTTTCCCCCCAAATTGCACCGTTTATGTGTTTGATTTTATTTCTTTTGGTTGCTCTTACTTGACCGAGTACCAGGATGTCCTACAGTACTAGTGGAGTAGGTAACCTGTCGAAAAATAATATAATCCGGAGTCAAAAGTCGGTAATATGAAAATAGTCTATTGAGTCTGAGTTGAGTTTATCTTCAATAATTCTCTGTGTATTTAATACTTAATAGCAAGGTTCAATGATAACATAATCAAGATGATTTAATGTCAATTTTAATGTTCAAAAGGCCTTAAACATCTAATAGATATAAGAAGATGTGGTATGAGTGCCAATGAGACAACTCTCCATCCAAGTCACAATTTATAAAAGTAAACCATTATAGGTCAAAGTACGGTCTTCAACACGGAGCCTTGGCTCACACCGCACAGTAAGCTATAAAGGGCCCCAAAAATTACTAGTGTAAAACCATTCAAACGGGAAAACCAACTCTCTAATCTATATAAAAAATGAGAAACGAGAAATACTTATGAACCACATCAACAAACGACAACAACTGAACATCAGATTCCTGACTTAGGACAGGTGCAAACAATGTTGATATGTAAATGGAAACTTGGATTTAAAATACAAGAATGAAACAAATCATTAGGATAGCACTTTTAACAAGGAATAGTTTTATCACATGCATTTTTGCAATGGTGATTACTTGTTAGTGGTTAAAAGCAGTTTTAGCATTTATGAACTAAAAAATGTATATTGGTCATTTGCAAAAAATGTGGAATTTTCAGTAAATCTATGCTAAAGTTTTTATATTTAAAGGAAAATTCAGTTTTAAGTGTTTAAATGAAAGATTGTAGGATTCATGAGTTGGAACATCAATCATAAATAACATTAAGATCTATTTTGATAAAATTAAAATATAATGAAGTCAGATTTTTGCGTAATTTATGTGTGTACAGTGTCAGGGAAACAAATTTCAAATGATGTTTTTCCTATTTTCTGATTGCCTTGATATCTGCAAAAGGAACTATTTGAGAATGTTAATAATAACTAACGAAAAATCACAGCTTCTTTATTATTCTATGTAACATTTTGTCTACAAACTAAATTCAATCAGCGTAGATGAAATGTATGTCTATCCTGTTACCGCTACTAAATCAACCGTTGAATTGTTTCTCCCTATGGATATGGAACTATTTAGTGATGATTTCAAAAGCACAAAGCATCCTGCAAATTTAACACAGCACGTTTCTTGCATAACAGTGTAGAGAAAAGAAAACTCAAGACATTTAGTGAAAAAAATTAGTGGGTACCCTTTTATCATGTCTATGCTGTTACCAACATATTTATTAATTACACCAATGTTATACTTGTAAAAAGTGTAATTATGTGTTGGAAATTAAAATCACAACAGAAAAACATTATCACTTCATCAAAGGGAGTAGTAATTTCACAACTGCAATTTCCAATTAACATAAACTGCTAACACAGAGATATGTCTCGCCTATTTGCTATTTTGGTAATGCAAATGTTGAAATTAAAATAGCAATACTTTAACATGTAACTTATGCAAATATTCAAAGTCAATGAACCATGACTGAAGGTACAGGGCTAAACAATTTCCATGGAAATGAGATGTGCCAATGCTAATACAACTGCATACCAAATACCATTGACTTTTCATAAGTCGTTCCCTTTAAACAAACCTAAACACAAACATTAACTTGTAAACTACGTAAAAGTTTCAAAGTCAATGAACCATAATGAGGGGATGGGGTTATATAATATCCATGGAAATAAAACTTGCAAATGCCAATACATTTGCATACCAAATATCATTGACTTAACATTAGTGGTTCATCTTAAACTGACCTAATCACAAACTAATACATGAAAACTAAGGAAAAGTTTCAAAGTCAATAGACCACGACTGAGGGGGCGGGGCCAAATAATCTCCATGGAAATGAGATATGACTATGCTTATACAACTGCATACCAAAAAATATTGACTAACCACTAGTGGTTCCCCATAAACTGACCTAATCACAAACTAATACATGTAAACTAAGCAAAGTTACAAAGTCAATAGACCATGACTGAGGGGGCAAGGCCAAATAATCTCCATATTAATGAAATGTGCCAATGCTAATACAACTGCATACCAAATAGCATTGACCTACCACTAGTGGTTCACCATGAACTAGACCTAATCACAAACTAATACATTGTTGACGCCGATGCTGCCAGCTGAAACAGCATACCTACATGTATGTCTCGCTTTTTGACTCTTGTTAAGGCGAGACAAAAAAACCCTGAAAAAATAAGTTTTTTTTTATTAGCCAGTATTTTACGAAGAATATTGATGAAACAGTTCAATGCGTTTCTAAAGGATTTTAATATATATGTATACAACTTTGTAATATATTTTTACAGTGTCTCATAAGTCAATTTGTTTGGCTGGGTATTGATTATTTTAAATATTGCATATCATATAATGTTCAACTGTTAATCAATACCTGAAACTTTAATAAAATAATTTATTATCTAATAATGAAAATTGATTAAGTAGTTTTATTGTCTGTGGGGATATAATTGACACCTACATGTGTTTTTACAGTTATATTTCACTATTTTTGACAAACAACAAGTGAGCTTGGGTATTAAAAATTTATTGTTTTAATTTCAATATCAATAAATATGATAAAGTTATAAGTAATTTATTTTCATAATGTATATAATTGTTTGAAATAACTATAGTTAGAAAGCACATGTTAAATTATTTATGGAAAACTAAAATTATACAAATTGTTAAAAAGATAAAATTTCCATTAATAATTAAGCTGGCTCATTTATGTTGATCATCAAAGTCAAAATTGAATTTTCCTGTAGTTATAACAAGATATTGTGTAAACTAAAATTGGAGTTAATATCAGAAGTATTCCATCGGGGAAGCTAAAATGCTTTCAAAGCATATTCTTTTATCACAAGGACTCAATCTCACAATGAAACATTTGGAAAGGTGAATTCCTTTAGTGAACTGTTTACAAAACAAATCACATATTTCCACTCTACATGCCCAACTTGGTTATACTGATCTTGTTATATAGAAGATATGATCAATCATAGATAAAAAAAATTTCATTTATACAAGTATAACATCTTCTTATTTTTATATTGTATATCAACAAGAGTGCACACGCTGAAATGTCTCGCTTGCTTTACTGGCCATTGATTTTATGTTGAAAGTCTTAAAGATAAAGGTTTTACTAAAAGCATTACAGAAACATAACATTTTTAACAAGAGGCTCATGAGAGCCTGATATCGCTCACCTGTAATTTCAATTTCAGGCATTTGACTTATTTGTAGATCTTACTTTGCTGAACAATTTTGTCATTTACACTTTCTCTCTTTCTATAATAATATTAAAAAAGATAATACATAACCCAAAACTGTAAAATTTCCTAAAAATTAACTATTTCTGGACAGTAACCCAACAATAAGTTGTCCTATTGGTCTGAAGATTACTTGACAGGTAGATCTAAACCTGGTTAACACGTTCACCTATGTCAGTTTGCTCTTACTGCTTTAGTTTTTGAGATGAAAGCCCAAAACTTCATTTGACCCCTATGTTCTATTTTTAAAAACTGCCGCCATGTTTTTGAATGAATCAAATCCCCGAATATAATCTATAAACTAGATACCCTAAGGAACATTCAATTAAAGTTTTTAAGTATTTGGCCAAGTAGTTTCAGAGAAGAAGATTTTTGAAAAAGTAATTAGACTTTCACAAAAAATGTAAAAAACAAGAATGTGTCCATAGTACACGGATGCCCCACTCACACTATCATTTTCTATGTTCAGTGGACCGTGAAATTGGGGTCAAAACTCTAATTTGGCATTAAAATTAGAATGATCATACCATAGGGAACATGTGTACTAAGTTTAAAAAAAAAACAAAAACTTTAACCTGAAGTGGGACAGACGGACGAAAGGATGAACAAACGGACGCAGACCGAAAAACATAATGCCCCTAGGTGGGGCATTAAAAAACGTTTTAAAGGCAATAACTCCTTAAGGGATCAATTGACTATTTAGATCATGTTGACTTATTTGTAGATCTTACTTAGCTGAACATTTATTGCCATTTATACTTTCTCTCTATCTAATATAATATTAAAGGAAATAACCAAAAACAGTAAAATTTAATAAAAATAAACTATTTCCAACAGTCATGACAGTAACCCAACAATGGGTTGTTGAACTTGTCTGAAAATTTCATAACAGATAGATCATGACCCATTTATCACTTTAACTCC